GGTTGGTGGTTCAAACTCACCAGCTGCTCCTGGAAAACTCTGTTACTATGAGTTGGAACCAAATGTTCCTCAGAAACCCTATACAGGGTTGCTGTGAGTCAGAATTGACTCGATGGCACCTAACCACAACAATATGTATATAGAGAGCCCTGGTGTGGTGCTGCAGGTTAATGTGTTGGACTGCAAGATTGGTTTGAACTGCAATGTCAGTGGTTCAAGCTTACCAGCCACTCCTCAGAAACCCTATACAGAGTCGTTATGAGTCAGAAGGTACTGGACAACACTTAAAAACAACAATGTGTATATATATATGTATTTGTCATTAGATGCCCTTGACTTGGTACCCATTCATAGCAACCCTATGCACAACAGAACGAAACACTGCCCGGTCCTTCTGCCAGCCTCACAGTCATTGCTCTGCTTGAGCCTATTGTTGGCTGCTGCTGTGCCAGTCCATCTCATTGGGGATCTTCTCTTTTACGCTGACCCTCCACTTTACCACACATGATATCCTTCTCCAGGGACTGGTCCCTCCTGATAATATGTCCAAAATATAAGAGATGAAGTCTGACCATCCTGGCTTTTATTGAGCAATCTGCCTGTACTTCTTCTAACACAGATTGGTTTGCTCTTTTGGCAGGCCATGGTACTTTTAATAATTCTGCAACATCTTTACTCAAATGAATTAATTGTTCTACTGTCTTCCTTATTCACTGCCCAACTTTCAAATGCATATGAGGTTATTGAACATACCCTGATTCTGGTGCACCTTAGTCCTCAAACTGACTTATTTTCAACACTTTAAAAAGATCTTATGCAGCATATTTTCCTAATGCAATACATCATTTGATTTTTTAGCTGTTGTTTCCATGAGTGTTGATGGTTGATATAAGCAAAATGAAGTCTTTGGCAACTTCAACCTTCTCTCCATTTTCATGGATGTTGTTTAGTAGTAGTAGTCCAGTGGTAAGGATTTTTGTTTTCTTTACATTGAGGTGCAACCCATACTGAAGGCTGTGGTCTTTGATCTTCATCAGTAAGCATTTTAAGTCCTCTTGGCTTTCAGCAAGCAAAGTTATATCATCTGCATCTTGCAGGTTGTTAATGAGTCTTCCTCCAACACATATGCATACATGCATACAAACGTGTATATTTCCCCAATCATTTATATAGCATATCTGGCCTCCCCAATGTTAGTAAGGAAAATCATTAAACATGGTTAAACAAATAAATCTTTGTTGCTTTTCATCCTGGAGCATAATATATGGTACTGTCCTTGAAAGAAGCAGCTCCATCACAAATACAGAAACCAACACACAATAAATGAAAAGAGGACCTGTTCTTGTAATTCCTTGGGGGCTGTAGGAGGGAGGGTAAGGTGGTGACTAGCAGCAATGCTCTTCATATTTGAGACCTCTTTGTTTTGCTATCTACTTATATATATCGTCTCTCCTTGTACTTGGATTAGCTGTGTTTGAGGACAATTGCTTGAGCTTCTTTGGTGAATTTTGCGTATTCCACGTAGTTAATAAATATTTTAGGTCACCATTCAAATATACATTTTAAATTTGAAGCTTTGACCTGCCACATTTTATGAAATACAAGATAAATCAAAATATTACTACAAAAGTATAGAAACCTTTATTGAACAAAAATATCAAACTGGGAAGCTATTATTTCTCAACATACCCCCATCTAAGGAGCTCTGGTGGGGTAGTGGTTATGAGTTGGGTACTAATCTCAAGATCAGCAGTTGGGAACTACCAGCTGTTCTGCAGGAGAAAGATGAGGCTTTCTGCTCCTGTAAAGATTTAATTCCTTAGAAACGCTATACAGGGTTTTTGTGAGTCAGACCTGATTCCGCAGCACATAACCACCACCATCATATCCTATCTATGTCTGTATACTTCTGAAGGCAGTGCTTCCATTAATTTAAACCACATCAAAATGGCAGTTTTAGCATCCTTGACAGACTCAAATTATGTTCACTTTCCATGTACTTTGATTTTGGGGAACAGAAAGTCCGAAGAGGTAAAATCAGGGCTTTAGGGTAGAGGGTAGGGTAGGGTGAGACTTTCTATCAAAATTCTAGTAGGGCGGCCCTTGCTACCTCTGAAGAACGAGCAGGTGCATTGTCATGATACAAGCAAAAGCACAGCTATCCTGTTTCTTTCTCGTCAGCACATCTTTTAATTTTCTTAAAAGTTCCTCTTAATAAGCCCCTGTAATCATTTGTGGCCTTGAGAAAGTCTACCAAGATTGCATTGCCCCTTTGGGATACCAAAAAAAAAAAGTCCCCCAAACCTGAGCCGACCTCTCTCCTTTGGATTTTAGCTGACCCAGCAGATTCCCCTTAGAAGTCCTTATTTTGATTGGATCTTGCTCTCTGGATTGTATTCATAAATCCAAGACTCGTCTCTGCTTACAATTCATTCTTGCTTAAAAGACTGATGGAAAGAACAGCTCTTTGAACTATATGATCTTGCGATGCTTTTGTCACCTATCAAGCTGAAAGCATACTGAGCCCTATCTATTAGCTTAAAATTGAGAATGTCAAACCATGTGAAATCCAAACTGCAGTAGCTATCACATCATAGGGTCTTCTACCAGTTTCTGTACTTCAGCCAATGGTTTCATTCAATAAGGTTGGCATTGGACCTCTCTTGGCTCATCTTTGAAGTCCTCCCAACCTTTCCTGAAACAGTTGATCCATCTAAAAATTTATTGCAAAATTTTAATAATTTGGGAAGATGTTCACTGAGTTTTGTTAAAAGTTTGATAATAACCCTGACCTGGCACTGCAAGATAATGCACTGGACTGCAGAGTCACGTTGATCCACAAGGTTGGTGGTTCAAACCCACCAGCTGTTCCTCAGAAACCCTAGATGGGGTAGCTGTGAATCAGAACCAACTTGACAGCACTGTTATTGTTAAATAACAACATGGTACAAAAAATATCCTTTATCTCAAAGATACCCTAACATGACTAAGACAAGTGTATTACTAAGAGAACTTATCTAATTAAACCATTAGCAATTCTTAGTAGTCCGGGTGTGGTGCTGTAGGATAAAAACTGGACTGCTAACTGCTTTTCAAGACTTCGAACTGAACTTTTCCACCTGGAAACTTAGAAAAAAACTCATTGAGAAATTAAACCACTATATCCTTCATGAGGGAATGCAGTGGCTCTGTAGGATGAGCACTGGACTGTGAACCATAAGATTGGTGGTTCTAGCCCATCAGCCTCTCATGGGAAAAGGATGAGGCATTCTGCTCCTGCAAAAGATTTAAAGCCTTGGGAATCCTACGTGGGGTCAATATAAGTCAAAAGCGACTCCACAGCACTTAATTGCATCAATGACATCATCTATCACAACCATCCACCTTAAAATTAAATACCAGTCATCATCCCTCTACCATGGTTATTACTGTTATTAGTTCTTGAATGTTTGGAGGCAGTTTCCCTAATCACAAAAGTTTGAGATTTAAAAGGATAATACTGTCATGCAACTTACAGTAAAGAAATAATAACTTATAATGAAGGAGGCAGAAAAACTAAAAAAGCAAGTAAGGATTGTCTTTGTGTTATCTGTGAGCTATTTTAAAGAAGACTTAAATTTTGGTATCTAATTTTTTAGTACAAGTTTAAATGATTGTACTACATGTAGTAGGAAATGTACTGGAAGATTGTAATGGCAAAAAATTGGAATTAAGTGTCTCTCATTATGGGGCCAATTTAATAAATTATCTTACACTCACACACATAGGAATACAGTGCATATATTGTGGAGTCCTAGTGTGGCACTATGGGCTAATGCGTCAGACTGCAAAGTTGTTTGAACTGCAAGGTCAGTGGTTCAAGCTCACCAGCTACTCCTTGGAAACCCTATACAGCGTTGCTATGGGTCAGAATTGACTCGATGGCACTTAACAACAACAACAACATTGTGCTTTGACTTTTCATATTGAACTTTTTTTTTTTCACTATTCAGGTACTAACTTCATAAAGTATAAGTGTCATCATGGGTTTATGACTGTCAGCCTCCTGTCTTAGTGTGTGTTACTTTAGCCAGAGATGAGTAGGTTCCAGGGATCTGTCACTAACTAAACTCACAAAGCTTGTTTATAAATTGATATATTAGAGTCTCATGATTACCAGTATTAAGTTGGGGAGTGGTTACTTGGATACCTTGGTTAAATCCATCTAAGGATTCAACTTTCAGTCTTAAAAATTGATTGAACATAGTATTAGGACAATGAGAATGATAGAAATATGTAAGATATGTTGTTAAGTGCCATCCAGTCAGTTCCGATTCATATTGACACTATATAGGTTTTCTTGGTTTTGAACTGCCAATTGCAGTTAACAGTCCAGTACTTACCCTAAAACACCACAGTAGTACTCCACTCAGGTTAGGGTAATTGTATACATTACTCATCTCTATCATAGAGATATTTTGTATAGATAACTGTTACAAATAGTTACTATTGTGTAATGCATGTAGATTGCTATATAGCTTATATATAATGCCTAAAAGAGTAACAGACTAGTACTTTTTTTTTTTTTTTTCTTCACACTGTCTCTTTTTAAAAAGGGATAATATATCTTATTTTCCTAAAACCTGAATTCTCCAATTTTCAAAGTGTTTCAGAGATTCTCATTCACATATCAAGTATGCTGGTGTGGTGCTGTAGAATAAGCATTGGATTGCTAACCACAAGCTCAGTAGCTCAAACCCACCAGTCGCTCCTTGGGAAACCCTGTAAGAGGTCCACATGGGTCAGAACAGACTCAATAACACTTAATAGCAACAAAATGTGCTGTACTGGCAATGGAGGAAGGATAATCAAACTATTCTGAAACCTACAGAATCAGTAACTTGACAAATACTTGGGTTTCTTAAGTGTTATTGCCATTTTACAGAAATAAATTGTTCTCTTTGGAAGGAGATGTATTATTTGCCATTTATTGTGAAGCTCAATTTTCCCTTATGTTTCAGGGAGGAAATAACGCTGGCCATACAGTTGTTGTAGATTCTGTAGAATATGATTTTCATCTTTTACCCAGTGGAATAATTAATCCCAACATTACTGCATTCATTGGTAAGTATATCATGTTAATTGAAATACTTGGGAATTTTTTTCTCTCAATTGATATTTGTGCTCATTTTTCTTATTAAAACTGATTTCATTTTTCATTTACCAAATGGTTCATTGATTCCTTACACATTTTGGCTGTGGCACCCTCTGAAATATGCATATCTTTGGATAGCTAACTCTTTTAAAACTTTCAATGGTACTACTTTTGGAATAATTACTTTACATTTACATATTTGTGATTGTTGGCAATCTTAGTTGTCTCAAGAAAGTGGTCCAGTTAGGTTTTAACCACTTTGACTATGAACCACAATAAAAAATACAGTAGGCCTGTTTTTCACAGACTGATCCTAACTACATGTGGTACAATCTGGCCTTTTCTCATTTTTTTATGACTTTTAAGAAATGCTCATTGATTTTATGATCACTAACTAGCTGCTCCTCAGAAACTGTATTTAAGGTCGCGATGAGTCAGAACCGACTCTATAGCATTGAAGAACAACAGCAGTGTGGTGCTGTTGGATAAGCGAGGTCAGCTGTTCAAATCCTTGGAAACCATATACTGGCGATGAGTTGGCACTTAACAACAACAGTTGGGTGAGATTCTCCGACTTGAAAGATAATTGATCTAGAGTCTACTGTGCTCTGGTTTCATTTGCCTAAAGCTATATAACTTTAAAAACAACTTGTTTCAAAGATACTTGCAATTATATTAAGTATAATGTTAGTTTTATATTTTATATATAATTATGTAGTAGTCATGTGAGACTGTAATTTAAAACTTGTAATAATTTCTTTACTAGCTCCCTGATAAATCAGAATGTCCCATTAATCGAAGTATGTTATTCCTCTATTCTAGATAAAGCATTTTTTGTGTCGCTATTACGATATCATTACGTATGTTTATATTGTGAGGAGCCCTAGTGGCATAATGGCTCAGCACTCAGCTGCTAACAGAAATGTTGGTGGTTAGGACCCATCTAGCCACTCCTTAGGAGAAAAGAACTGCTGATCTCCTCCTGTAAGAAGATTGTTGTTGTTATTAAGTGCCTATTAAGTGCCGTTTAGTTGGTTCCAAGCCATAGTCGCCCTGTATAGGGTTTCCAAGGAGCAGCTGGAGAGCTTGAACTGCTGGCCTTGCAGTTCAAGCAGACATTGCAGGCCGTTGCATTAGCCCACAAGTGCCACACCCAACCTCGAAAACCCTTTGGGGCAGTTCTTATCTGTCACCTGGGGTTGTTAGGAGTTGAAGTGTACTCAACGGCACCCAACAACAAATAGATGCCTTCATTATAATATTATGTATGTTACAAATATAGATGTCTATGCTTGGTTTTTAGGAAATGGTGTGGTAATTCATCTACCTGGATTGTTTGAAGAAGCAGAGAAAAATGTTCAAAAAGGAAAAGGTATGGAAGGATGAATCTGCTTTGCCTGGTAATCAGTAAGTTTTTGGTAAAATTTTGTTAGGAGCTCATGCCAGGCAAAATGAACATTTTTGTCTTAGTAATTCTTAAAAAGTTGGCAGGTTTTTGTAGGGCAAACATTTTAAATGTTGGTTATTAAATCTTACTCTTTTTAATCAGTATATTAAACAAAAGACAGTATGATAGAGGCTTCAAAATTTTGTGGAAAAAAGAAAATGAAAGATAATGGAATTTTTTCATGAACCTTTTGAAGCCCTGCTCATATAAGCACCAATTTTTAACCTAATGCTAATCTGCAAGCTTTTATTGGCTTTCCATATGAAGAGAAACGTGGCATCAGGATTGGAGGAAGACTCATTAACAATTTGTGATATGCAGATGATACAACCTTGCTTGCTGAAAGTGAAGAGAACTTAAAACATTTACTGATGAAGATCAAGGACCTTAGCCTTCGGTATGGATTGTATCACAATGTAAACAAAACAAAAATCCTCACCACTGGACCAATAAACAACATTCTTATCAACAGAGAAAAGATTGATGTTGTCAAAGACTTCATTCTTCTTGGATCAACTATCAACACTCACAGAAGCAGTGAAGAAATCAAACAACATATTGCTTTATGCAAATCTGCTGCACAAGACCTTTTTAAAGTGTTGAAGAGCAAAGCTGTCAGCTTGAGGACTACTGTGCACCTGACCCAGGCCATGGTATTTTCAGTAACCTCATATGCATGCGAAAGCTGTAGAGTGAATAAGGAAGACCGTAGAAGAATTGATGCTTTTGAGTTATGGTGTTGGAGGAGAATATTGAAACAGCCATGGGCGGACAAAAGAACAAACAGATCTGTATTGGAAGAAGTGCAACCAGAGTGCCCCTTAGAGGCCAGGTTGGCCAAACTTTGTCTTTCATACCTCAGACATATGGTCAGGAGGGACCAGTTGCTAGAGAAGGATATCATATTTGGTAATGTGGAGGGTCAGAGAAAAAGAGGAAGACCCCCAGCAAGATGGATTGGCAAAGTGGCAGCATCAGTGGACTCAAGCGTGACAACAATAGTGAGGTTGGCCCAGGATCGGGCAGTGTTTCGTTGTGTTGTGCATAGGGTCGCTGTAAGTTGGTAGCGACTCGATGGCACCTGACAACAACAACAACAAAAATTACCGAAAGCCTTATCATAAGGTAGCTAAACTCTTAAGATTAAATTGGTAATTCATCTTGTAGCTTGTGTGTGAGTTAGCATCCTTTTTCTTCCCAAACCAAGAAAGACTTGACTTAGGTAAGTCAGGGAATCCACTGAAGCCCATTTTGCAGCTGTCAGTCCTGTTTTCAGTGGATCTGGAGCTCTTTTGATTTTACATGCTAGCCGTGGAACAGAGGATGTCCAAATAAAGGACATGCTCTGTGTTTGCAGTATATCCTTTCAGAAAATAGTGGTGGAGTCCTACCTTTCCTGACTGCTTTTGGAATTTTGAAGTTTTCTTTACATTCAACTTAGCAACCTTGTAAGGTATGAAGTAAATTTGAAAATATGTATAAAACACAACTGAGGAAAATTATTAGTATACTTTACTTGTAGCTTAGTTCAAGTTTTAATTACTCAGTTATATTACTATTATTGGACTTCTGGTGTGACGCTGTAGGATTAGCACTGGACTGCAGATAACAAGGTCAGCAGTTCAAACACACCACCTGCTCCTCGGTAACCCTATACAGAGTCATTATTTGTTGGAACTGACTCAAACTGTGTTTAACAACAACAATTATTGTTAAAATAAATGTTTAACAATTATTATTATTATTGTTAAAAGTTATTCAAGTTTAAAAAAATAAATAAAATTAGCAAGCTGTTCCCTTAAGTGTTCCTAACAATGTGTCACAAACTTTGTAACATCCTGTCTAGCTACCATATTTTTTGTCTTTTCTATGTTTTTGACTATGAGTCCTAGTCTCAAGGATCCCTGGTGGCAGAGTGGGTTAAGCATTTGGTTGCTACCCACAAAACAAGATCAGTTTAAACCCAACAGCTACTCTGTGGGAGAAAGATTAGACTATCTGCTCCCTTAAAGGTTTGTAGTCTCTGAAAACCCTATGTGTATATATCTGGTCGCTATCAAAATCAGTTCAATGGCAGTGAGTTTGGTTTGGTTTTTGGTGTGTGAATAACTCAAAATTCATTGCCATAGAGTCATTTCTAATTCACAGCAACCTTGTGTAGGGTTTCCTCCAAGACTATAAATCTGTACGGGAGCTGAGAGAGCCTTATCTTTCTCCACAAAGTGGCTGGTGGGTTTGAACTGGCAACCTTGGAGTTCTAAGTCTAGTGCTTATCCGACAGCGCATCTAGGGTGACAGATAAGAAAATTTCTGATGTTTCCTCTGATGAAGAAAAGATACTAACGTGGTTCCTTCAGTGGAAAAACTTTTAGACATTATATTGATAAAGAAATTAAGGTTAAAAAATTAGTATACAAAATGTGCTAAATATATCTTTTCTTTCCAGGTCTAGAAGGCTGGGAAAAAAGGCTTATCATATCTGACAGAGCTCATATTGGTAAGGGGGACATAATTGCATTTGTTTTTTTTGTTTTGTTTTGCTCTATTTTTAACAGAGTATATTATCAGCAAGCATAACTTCCATTTTATAAACGTAGAGTGTTAACATTAGGCAGTGGGGCAAGCCTCTAAAGTGCTGGTGTATTCCTACCATACAGTTTCTGAGCTGAGACAGCAAGGAAACACAGGCCCTGATGCTCCTAGAACCTGTTAGATGGGGGTCCTGATCCTGGCAATGCTCAGCATGAGCTGCACAGGTAAGGGTTCAGAATTGTCACCAAAGAACCTATACTCAGACCATAAGGGGAAAGCACTTAACATATAATTAACCTTCATGTAGCTTTAAGCCACCTGGACACAGGGTTTACCCCCCACCCAACATCCTTAATCTTTTCCTCAGATTTCCTGCTGGAGAATTTGGCCTTCACGATGACAGGTTGTTTTGGGAGCTTTCCCGTCCCTAGAACTTAGAAATAGCCCCATTACACCACATCAATAATGGGAGCAGTTCCAGTCTTATTTTTGGCAGCATTTACCCTGTCTGCTTACTGACCAGGTCCACAATTTATCAAGATTGACAATTGGTCAAACTCTGTTTCCTCTTCAAGTGGTAATGTCTCTCTCATATCCCCCTTCCCAAAATAACCTGGATGATATTTATCGAAGTTGATCCTGTGGTGATGCGTGCTGACAGCCTTACCCTGTGCTCCGCCCTCTTTCGCTGCTGTTTTTTAGGGGGGCTCTAGGTAAGGAGCTCTGGTAGTGTAGTGGTTACGAATCGGGCTATGAACCCTAAGGTCAGCAGTTCGAAACTACCAGCTGTTCCACGGGAGAAAGATGAGGCATTCTGCTCCCGTAAAGATTTACGACCTCGGAAACCCCATACAGGGTTGCTATGAGTTGGAACTGACTCCATGGCACATAACAACAACAATAACCGTCATAGATACTTTTATCAAGAAAACCTTTCTTAACTTTTTACAGCATTGTTCAGATACAATATTTGTCCCTTTGTGATTGACTTATTTCACTCAGCATAATGTCTTCCAGGTTCATCTATGTTGTGAGGTTATTTGTAGATTCATTGTTATTCTTCAGCATTCTGTGTACGTACCAGTCTCTTTATTAGTTGATGGGCATTTAGGCTGTCTCTATCTTTTTAATGTGACTTTTGTAAGATCCTGTTTTCTTATCCATTCTAATCTCTGTCTTTTGATTGGTGCATTAAATCCATTTATATTCAGTGTAATTCTTGATAGGTATGAATTGATTGTTGTCATTTTGCTGTGTGGGTTTTTTGTTTGTTTTTTTGGTGTGTGTGTGGTGCTCCTGGGCTCTTTGTTCTGCACTGAGTTCATTTGTTTGTGGGTTTTATTTTCACTGAATTTTTTTTTTCTTTTATGTGCCAGATGTGTTACTTTTCTTGGAGGTTACTCTATTATTTATTAATATTTACCCCTATTTAAAACAGTATGTTTTATCTTGAAATCTACTTGACTTTCCTTGCTATTTGTAAGTTCTGTAAACTATTTCTTTTTTTTTTGATTTGTAGTTGACTTTATAAACAATTGATATCTCTGGTACCCTATTTTCAGCCTTTAAAAGTTTATTTTACTTTAAATACTTCTATATCTGGATTGGAGTCCTGGCGTGGTGCTGTGGGTTAATGCACCAGACTGCAAAGCCACTAGAACTGCAAGGTTGGTGATTCAAGCTCACTAGCTGCTCCTTGGAAACCCTATAGAGGGTCACTATGAGTCGAATCGACTCGACAGCAGTTAACAACAGCATATCTGAATTGAGTTCTGGGTGGTGGTGTCATGTATTTTAAACTCAGGTTGTTGTCTGCTGTTGTTGGTTCTCAGTCCAAAAACCATGTTTTAACATTTTTAGTAAAGTTGGTCTGGTCGCTACAAATTCGTGTAATTTCTGTTGTTAAGGAAATGTCTAATTTCACTGTCATATTTGATTAACAGCTTTGCTGGGTATGTGATTTTTGGTTGGCATTTTTTCCTTTCAGAGTTTTGTATACCATTACCTTCTTGCCTGCATGGTTTTTGCTGAGAAATCAGAGCTTAGTCTTATTGGTTCACTATTGTGGGTAACTTTTCATTTTTCTTGAGCTGCTCTCAGGATTCTCTTCTTGTTTTTGATTTTGGAAAGTTTGATTATGATATATCTTGGTGATTTTCTTCTGGAATCTAACCTGTTTGGGTTTCTTTCAGCTTCCTGTATGCTTATCTTCTTTCATAATGTTAGGCAAGTTTTCTCCCTATATCTCTTTGACAATTTATTTTCTCTTCCTGTTCTGGAATTGTAATCATCCATAAGTTGTTCCTCTTCATAGTGTCCCACATAACTCTTTTTTCATTTTTTTTCCCCCAGTTCTTCTAGCATACTAGTATTGAGCAATTTATCACTACTAATACTAGTATAATTCAGGCTTCCATTGCTTCAAATCTACTCCTTTGCCCTTTCCATGTACTGTATGAAATCGTGCATCTATCTTGCCTGTTTGTTCTTACAGTGTTTTCCTGAATTCGTCTAAAGATTCTTTCTGTGTCCTTGCTTTCCTCAATTTTTCTGTCAGTCCTTTGAAGGTACCTAAATATTATTATTCTGATTTCTTTTTCAGTTAGTTCTATTACTGTTTCTTCCTGAGAAGCATTTTCTGGCTCTGCATCTTGGTCATTTGTTTGAGCCATTCTCTCTCGTTTCTTTGTGTGAGCTAAAATTGTCTGTTGTCTCTGGGGCATTGTGGGGTTGTATTTGTTTTAAATGATGATTGTATGTTGATGTGTTTTTAGGCTCTCACCAACTGTCTTGTGGGTGTAGTTAGAGAATGGAAGTGTGTACATTGTTCTTGTTTGCCATTTGTGCAACTGTTTATAGTAGTTCTGGCTGGAGTTTGCTGCTGTCTGTTACTGATCAGCTGGTATAGGAGCTTGTATTGGCTCTTGCCCAGTGGGTGGAGCTGCAGAGGAAATGGTTGTAACTGGGCTGTATGGGCATGGTTGCTGTCTCCTTTTGGATGGGAATAAGAAAACCCTTTCCACATGCAAGCACAAGAAAAATGAAACAGAATAAACCAATGGAACCAGCATTGAAAAAGGAAGATAATAAAGGGAAAAATAAATTAAAACAGACAGCAACCAGGAAAAGAATATTGTAACTGTAAGGACAAAAGAGGGACTGGGAAATGGAGCTATAGAAGAGAAGGATTAGAGATAAAATAAGTGGAAAAAATTGAAAACAAAAGAAAAATAAGACAGGAAATAACAGGAAGAAAAGAAAATGCTCACATTCACATGACTCACAACCACATGGTTCTGAACTCCAGGAGAGCAGGGACTGCATCAGTGGTGGATGAGGGTGGCAGCTGGCCCCACCTTTATTTTTCCAGAGGCGTGTGGGGTGAAAGAAGGAATCACACCTTCATAGTCACCTGCGTGAATCTGCTCAGCCAGACCTCCCTCTGTTGCCAAAGCTGCTTACAAGATGGTCACGCTGTGCCTGGTGAGCTGTTCACCAGTCAGGCTCCCTTCCTGTCACTGCTCAGCTTCTCCCAGGAAGCTCTCAATGCACTTGGAATACTGGATTCTAAATGATTTTGACTTTTTATAGACTGGTTTCTCCTTCAGTAAGGAACCTGGGTGGCGCTGGAAGATAAGCTCTAGCTAACTTCAAGTTAGGCAGTTTAAACTCACCAGCTACTCCTGTTTCTGCTTCTGTAAAGATTTGCCTAGGAAGCCATATACGGTGTTGTTATGCCTCAGTCCTGACTGAATGACAGTGAGTTTGGCTTTCTTCTCCAATAGAGCAACTAGATTTGAAAAGTGAACTATCAAAGTGTAAAGTTTTCTTCCTGTTATTATCCTATCTCTGAGGTGATAGAATTGAATAGAAGTAGGCAAATCTGCTGCACAAGACCTTTTTAAAGTGTTGAAGAGCAAAGATGTCAGCTTGAGGACTAAGGTGTACCTGACCTAAGCCATGGTATTTTCAGTAACCTCATATGCATGCGAAAGCTGGACCGTGAATAAGGAAGACCGTAGAAGAATTGATGCTTTTGAGTTATGGTGTTGGAGGAGAATATTGTAACTGCCATGGGCTGTCAAAAGAACCAACAGATCTGTGTTGGAAGAGGTGCAGCCAAGGGTGCTCCTTGGAGACCAGGATGACCAAACTTCGTCTCTCATATTTTGGACATATTGTCAGTAGGGACCAGTTGCTGGAGAAGGATATCATGTTTGGTAAGGTGGAGGGTCAGATAAAAAGAGGAAGACCCCCAGTGAGATGGATTGGCCAAGTGACAGTATCAATGGGCTCAGGTGTGGCAATAATTGTGAGGTTGGCTCAGAATCAGGCGGTTTTGTTCTGTTGTGCCTAGGGTCGTTATGAGTTGGCACCTGCTTGATGGCACCTAACAACAACAACATGGTTAAGGGAGTCCTGGTGTGGCATTGTAGGATAATGAGCTGGACTCAAAGATCGGTTTGAACCGCAATGTCAGTGGTTTAAACTCACCAGCTGCTCCTTGGTAACCCTATACAGTGTTGTTATGATTTTTAAAAATCATTCTCTCAGATTGGCACCGAAATAGTGTAATTTTGTTGTTATTGTTACTGACTAATCTTAAAACTTTGATATCTTACCACTAGAGTGTTACAATATAGGAAGCAATATAGTTTATATTTATTATACACTATTTATATATATAAGGAGCTCTAGTAGCGTAGTTGTTACTAATCGGGCTATAAGCTGCAAGGTCAGCAGTTTGAAATTACCAGCTGTTCCATGGGAGAAAGATGAGGCTTTTTGCTCCCGTAAAGATTTACAGCCTAGGAAACTCTATGCAGGGTTGCTATGAGTCGGAACCGACTCCACGACACATAACAACAACAACCATTTTCAGTAACATAATCTCAATGTCCACAACTCGTTTGTCAGTTTGTTGTACTGTGGTGACTATGAGTTGCTATGATTCTGGAAGCTGTG